TTTACTTGTGTTTTATTTACTATACCAAAGCATTTGATTTTGTGGATCATAACAAATTATGGGTAACATTGAGAAGAATGGGAATTCCAGAACATTTAATTGTACTCATGAGGAACATGTTCATTGACCAGAAGCCTGTCATTTAAACAGAACGAGGGGACACTGCATGGTTTAACATCAAGAAGGGAGTGTGTCAGGGTTGTATCCTTTCACCATACTTATTCAATCTGTATGCTGAGCAAATCATCCAAGGAGCTGGGCCATGTGAAGAAGAACATGGCATCATGATTGGAGGGAAGAATTATTGACAGTCTGCAATATGCTGATGCCACAACTGTGCTCGCTGAAAGTGAAGGTGACATTTACTGATGAAGATTAAAGAATACAGTCTGCAGGGTGGATTACATCTCAGTATAAAGAAAACAAAAATCTTCACAACTGGACCTTTAAGCAACATCACGATAAATGAAGAAACAATTGAAGTTGTCAAAGACTTCACATTGCTTGGTTCAACAATCGATGCCAATGAAAACAGCAGTCATGACATCAGATGATGTATAGCACCGGGCATATCAGCTACAAAGGACCTCTTTCAAGTGCTGAAGAGCAAAGATATGTCCCAGGGGACCAAGGTGCACCTGGCACAAGCCATGGTATTTTCAATCACCTCATATGCATGTGAGAGCTGGAAGATGGATAAGGAAGACAGAAGAAGAGTTGATGCTTTTGAGTTGTGGTGCAGGCAAAAAATGCTGAAAGTACCATGTATTGCCAAAAGAACTAACAAATTAGTCCTGGAGGAAGTGCAGCTGAAATGCTCCTTGGAAGCGAGAATGGCCAGACTTCATCTCGCCTACTTTGGTCATGTTGTCAGAAGGGGCCATTCCCTGGAGAAGGATGCCATGCTTGGTAAGGTGGAGAGTCAACGAAAGAGGGGAAGGCCCTCAATGAGATGGATTGACACAGTGTCTGTGGCAATGGGCTAAAATATAGCCAGGATTGTGGAGCTGGTGTGTGACTGGGCAATGTTCTGTTCTGCTATGTATAGGGTCACTATGAGTTGGAGATGACTTGACGGCCCCTAACAACATCAACATAGAAAAGAGAGCCCAGCAAGGCAGAGAGATTCAATATAGGTTGTTTTTGTTTCTGAAATTTTAGCAGAAATAAGCAAGATGATTGTCTGAAATGTAGTTCATAGTCTATAAGTTAAAAAGAAATACTTTAGCTGCTGATTACAGCTAGTTCAACTAGTGCCCTTAAAATGTAATTAGCTTTTGGAGTGGTTCCAAATGGCTTCTTTATGCTTAAAAGTGCAAAAAATTTCAAATGCTGTTTCAGTATTTCTATTAGTATTTAAAGAGTTTATTCGTAACAGTAATCTGAATTTATATGCACTAGAAGGTAGAGGGCTCTCTGGTAGCATAGTGCCTAAGGCACTTGACTGCCGATCAGAAGGCTGGCGGTTCAAATCCACCAGCCACTCCTCAGAAGGAAGATGGGGCAATCTACTTCCATAGTGATACTGCCTCAGAAACCCAAGGAGGAGTCGCTGTAAGTCCGGTCTGACTCAACATCACATAACAACACAACAACAGAAGGTAGAGGGTGTCTCTGAGAGTCTGGAGACAATACATATGTGTTAAAGAGAATCTCTTGTCTTTACATAGTCTTGACCTTCCCGGTGTTATAGCAAAGGGGAGTTGCTTTTAATTTAGTGGTTTACTTATTTTTACCCTTTGAGTTAGAATCTGTGTAAAAATTCACAATGATCATTTTTGTTTTCATTTTTATTAAATATTCAGATAACTGCATTGAGATTGTAACTTTAAAAAGTTAGTATTCCTTTTATTTGACTTTTGTCAATATGATATTATAACTCTAGAAAACATAAGAAACTGAGAACAATTTGGAAGGCTAAGGCAAAACATAAATGAAAAAATTAAAATTCTACAGAGTTTGTAGATATTTCATGAGTCAAGCTGAAGCAAGAAATAAAAATAATTATTTCTGTTCCAATTCTATTGCCTTTTCCCTTTGTTTTTTTTTAAAAAAACAATTTTTATTATGGAAAATGTCAAATTTGCACAAAAGTAAAAAATTTTCACATACAGAACCTCCACACACCATCATCATCCAATGTAAAAAACTATAATTCATGATCAATGGTATTTCATCCATATGCCCACCTACTTTTTCCTCCCAACCCCAGTTATTTTGAAGCAAATTCCAGACATCATATCATATTGTGCCTATTTTAGTATGAATTTCTAATAACAAGCACCTTTGAAAAATATCACAATCCATTATCACACTTTAGGAAAAAAAAAAAAACAGTAATAATTGTCTCATATATATCCAACTAGTGTTTCAGTTCTTTCTTATTGTCTTGTAAATGGTTATTTTTAATTGTTGATTTGTTCAAATTAGCATGACATTAAGCCTATACTTTGATGTTTCTTATGTCTCTTTTAAGTTATAGGTGTCCTCTTCCTCCATTTTACTTTTCCTCCTTAAAATGTATTTGTTGAAGAAACTGGGTAATTTGTTCTGTGAATTTTCTACACTTGAGATCTTTTAGATTCCATCCCTGTAATGCCATTTAACATGTACAGTTTCCTGTACTTGCTGTAGACTGATAATTAGACTTAAGTCTTCATCAGATTTCAGGTTTTTTTTTTTAAAGAAAGACTGCTTCATAAATCATAGCATATACTTCTGTCCTTTTTTGTAATGTTAAAATTGATTTTAACAGTTTTATCTAGACACCTGATTAACTTGATCCATCCATTGTAAGGTCCCCCATCAGCTTTTTATCTAATAATTTTAGCAGGCATTAATGATGATCATTGTCTAGGAGCTCTGGTAGCATAGTGCCTAAGGCACTTGACTGCTCACCAGAAGGCTGGTGCTTCAAACCCACCAGCCACTCCTCGGAAGGAAGGTTGGGCAATCTACTTCCGTAGTGATACTGCCTCGGAAACCCAAGGAGGGGTCACTGTGAGTCGGGGCCGACTCGACGGCAAACAACAACAACAACAACAACAACAACAATGATCATTGTCTAGATCCATTATTTCAAGGAAAAATATTTTTTAAATTAAATTTTAAAAACTAGCTTATGACTGACTGATAATGTTGTTTGATATTCTTTCACGGTTTGGTGGTTCAACACTCATCTTTAAAATAAATCAGAGAATCTTTATCAAGCTAAGAGCTACATAGCATCAACATGGAAAACCAAAACCAAAACCAAAACCAAACTCACTGCCATTGAGTCAAGTCTGACTCATAGCAACCCCTCCTTGAGTTTCCGAGGTGGTATCTCTACAGAACTAGATTGCCCAGCTTAAAAAAAAAAAAAGAGCCCAAAGTGATCCAGTTACTATGAAGTTGGCATTCTTATAGGACAGTTTCACAGGCCCAAGCCTAAAATGGAAAAGGCAACATTTTTTTTTTTTTTTTTAATAGCAATACTTAAACTTTCAAGCTTTCAGCATATAGTCCACTATTTGTACATTAACGTTTTACACAAAATAGCAGTAGAGAGGAAAACAGTGTAGAACTCAATTGAAATATCCCCATTTCTTCAACCTATGTATTTGTTGGGGTTCAAAAGTCAGGGGAGTGAATAATCCCCCTCACTGACTCTCACACTGATAGGTGTTAGGAAGTACCAACCTAGGGGGAAATCATCTGGGAATATCTGGGAAGGGTGTTCAAACCAGTAGCTACTCATTAAGAGGAATAAGGAATTGAGAGTGAACTGCCTCTTAAAATTTATAGGTAATTTAGAAATGATCTGTTCTTACCTCTTTACCAATCCAGGAATCCCTCCAAAAGGATCTGACAGATGGGAGTGGACTTCTCTTCATATTTTAGACTTTTATGTTGCTCATCTCATTCTGCCTTTTTAATGTAGTATATTCTATTTTCATTATTGAATTATACATTCCTTAAGGGCAAGGAAAGGAGCTATGGTGGCACAGTGTTTACAGCCTTTGGCTGCTAACCAAAAGGTCAGTGGTTCAAATCCACCAGCCATTCAGCGGGATAAAGATGAGGCAGTCTGCATTTGTAAAGATTTACAGCCTTGGAAATTCTATGGGGCCATTCTCTTCTGCCTTAGAGAGTTGCTATGAGTCAGAATTGACTCAATGGCAGTGGGGTTTTTGGTTATAAGGGCAAGGGATTTAATCCTAGTCTTCTGTTTAATACTATACACAGCCTAGAATACAGCCTATAGATGCTTAATGAATTTGTGTTGACTGAATGAATTTAAGAAAATTCAGTTTTCTTTCTTCACCAAAGGGAGGGAAGTTATTTAGGATGCCTTTCCTACACCCCTTACTGTCTAATGACAGGCAGGAGACTGGACTACACCTCTGTCAGTTATCTTCCTTCTCTATGTCCACTTGGACATTTTCTTCAGAAAGGTCATCAGTGCTGGCCTCCTCATGAAGACTGGCCCCTTCCATTTGTGCCTCAGGGCTTTATTTCCTTCCCAAAGACATTCTGATTTTTTTCTTTTAATTCAATATGGATGATTCTGTTAAAAATGATTAAATATTACAAATTCCAACACAGGATACTGAGTACTATTAAGGAGGAACAGTCAAATACCCTTTACCCAAAAATATCATACCTAACAGGGCACCACTTCTATCATTTGCTTTCATCAAACTTTTCCTTCATAGAATTTATCTCAGATTATAATATATTTATTTATATGATTATTTTAAAATCTGTATCTTGGAAACTTTTGCTTATTTGTTCACTGTTGAATAGCCAGCACCTAACACAGTGACCAGAACCTGGTAGATATATTCCCAAATGATAAATTTACTGAACAAATGAATGAATGGCTTTCCATCTTACCTTATCTTCTATAAAATAATATTGACAGATTGTAATGCTATTTAGTAGAAACATGTGCCAGAATGTTTGCAGAAGGGGATGAATTTCAAGTTGCATTTCAGTGGTTCTTCTTCTCTTTGTAGGTTCCTTACCTATTCCTACCTTTTGGCCTTCAATGTGTGGCTTCTACTCGCACCCGTCACCCTGTGCTACGACTGGCAGGTTGGCAGTATTCCTCTGGTAGAGACCATATGGGACACACGGAACTTAGCCACCATCTTTCTTGCAGTTGTGATGGCCTTATTAAGCCTGCATTGCTTAGCAGCCTTCAAGGTAATTTTATCAAAATTCAAATGAACTCTCTGCATTTGTAAGGCAGTATTTACTCAGTAATGCTTTTTTCCCACAGAGGTCTGGGTCTAAATTGAATCTACTCTCTGGTCTAGAAAACATTGTGCCTATAAAACCTAAAATTTTTCTGGTAGGTTAAGATATGTTTTAAGTACCTTTCCAGGGTTAACAGACCATGACAACTTTAATCATATAATTTCTTTGACTGTTTTTACCAATTATAGAAATTAGGATCTGAAGATAAATGTTTGCAAATAAGATATTTTTTCCTGTTGTGGTTGGCTAATTTTTTAATTAATTTGCTTGATTTTATGAAATAGTAAAATAAGGTAATGAAAAATAATATATACACAGTAAGTGCTTAAAATATAGTGAAGACTTCCCTTCTAGTAGTGACTACCTGAGGTTGGATGCTTTTCTCTCAAAGAAAAAATAGTATAAAACTGAACAAAATTATTAAATTTAGCCATTTCAAAAATGATCAAAGGCAGTAAAGAACTTGAGAAGTTTTAGCTCGTGAAAATGTGCTTCTGAGTTGGATAAGATGATTCTTACCATAGGGTGTTCCCACGCCGCCAGCTTTGTTGGTGACATCAGCTTTACTGGATAGCAGATTTGGTTTAGGAGAGTGGCAGAGCAGCTAGATATTTAAGGGGGGAATTTTGGAAGCAGAAGAGCTGTGTCGTTGTTATGTGTCTCCAAGTCGGCCCCGACTCATAGCGACGCCTCCTTGGGTTTCTGAGGTGTTATCACTACAGAAGTAGATTGCCCAACCTTCCTTCCGAGGAGTGGCTGGTGGGTTTGAACCGCCAGCATTCCGGTTAGCAGTCAAGTGCCTTAGGTGCTACGCTACCAGAACTCCCAGAAGAGCTGTAGAAGTGTTGAAATAATATACTTTCCATGCATTCCTGGCTGGCTACTACATGATGTGTACACTTGGAACTCCTAGGGAGCCCAATGAAAATGGAAAGCCTAGGGAAACTTATTTGCTGCAACTTTGGATATGCTCCTCTTCCCCTATGTAACTTGAGCAGCAGAGAGTGGAGGCTTGAATTGTCCATATAACTTCTATGTATGTCTTTAGTTGACGATGAAACTGTGCAGGCACAAGAGAGATCCCCAGATAACCTGATTTAAAAAAAAAAAAAAGTAAAGAAAACTAAGCAGAAATTTCAGTACTGTTCAGGACAAACAAATTTTCCATTTTGAGTATAGACAAGTTCTTCACATATTAAACAAACAGACTAAGAATTTTCATAAGAATAAAATAGAATCTAGAGTCACTACAGTGTTTGACCTGTGTTCTGGTTACTTAGTGCTGCTCTGACAGGAATATACCACAAATGGGATGGCTTTAACAAACCAGAGTTTATTCTCTTACAGTTTGGAGGCTTTAAGTCTGAGTTCAAAGTGGCAGGCTCTAGGGGCTGGGTGAAAGCCCCCCAGCCTTGGGCTTCAGTTCTGCCTCCTGCTACCAGCCCGCTGAAGCTAGAGGCTTTCTTCACTCAAATAGCTGCTGGATGCTGAGGCTGACAAGCCCAAGGTTGACAAGTAAAAAGGCACAGTCCTGATGTTACCAAACCACAACCACACGGCTGGCCATTAATTCAAGTCCACTGAAAGTCCCAAGGTTGGCAGAGCATGGGAGGCTGCTGAACGACATGGCTACATGGAGGGTTCAATTGTGCCATAGGCTAGAGACCATTCCCCAAGGCTTCTCCTTATATACAGGAAGCAGACCATATCCCTAAGGCAGCTACTCAGCTGCTCACAGTAGATTCCACCATGGAGTTGATTGCCAGTTTCATCATGGGGAATACTACATCCAGCTTGCCAGCTAGTCAACAAGACCCAGCCAAGCTGACACACAAACTTAACTGCCACAACCTACACTGCTTATTTTTTAACCAAAGATTACTACACATGTACAGAAACAGGAATGGTAACTTAAATTCAGGAAATAACATTGTCATTAGAAAATTAAACAGACTCAGAGTCCAGAGATTGACTTACACTTATTTAATCAATTGATGTTTACAGAGTTATCAAGGTAATTCAATGGAGTATGGATCATCTGGAGAGTCTTTTCAATAAACTGTGCTGAGGTAATTAAATATCTCTAAAGAAAAAAGGAGGAGCTCTGGTAGCATAGTGCCTAAGGCACTTGACTGCTCACCAGAAGGCTGGCGGTTCAAACCCACCAGCCACTCCTCAGAAGGAAGATTGGGCAATCCTACTTCCGTAGTGATACTGCCTCGGAAACCCAAGGAGGGGTCGCTATGAGTCGGGGCCGACTTGACGGCAAACAACAACAAAGAAAAAAGGATGAGCCTTAACCCTTATTTCACAATGTATGAGGAAAGAAATTAATGCAAAGTGAATCGTACCTAACCAAAAAAACTAAATAAAACCATAAGTTTTCAGAAAATTTTTATGACCTCGGATTAAGCAACGATTTCTTATAAAGAAAGTGTAAAGCACAAACTAGAAGTGACAAAGTTGAAAAATTAGACTTCATTAAAATTAAAAATGTTTGCTCATTAAAAGATTACATTAAGGCAATAAAGATGCAGACTACAGATTGGGGGAAAAATAACTTGCAAGACATATATCTATAAAGGCCTTATATCTGGAATATTTAAGGAGTTCTTAAGAAGAAGAAGACAATACGGTGAAAAAATGGGCAAAAGATTTTCAAAGGTACTTCACAAAAGAAGATATACTAAGCTTAATAAACATACAAAGATGCTCAGTTATTAGGGAAATTCAAATTAAAACCATAAGGAGATAATATGCCACATCTACTATAAGACTTTTAATTAAAAAATTCACAATACCATGTGTTGGACAATATGTGGAGCACCTGGAACCCTCAGACATTACCATTGGGAATGAAAAATGGTTCAACCAAATTGGAAAACCTTGGCCATTTCTTTTAAACTTAAATATATAATTAACCAGTTTTATTCTTCATTATCTACTCAAGAGAAATGAAAATATATGTCCATACAAAATTCTTGTACATACATATTCATAGAAACTTTATTTATAATAACCAGGAAATAGAAACAACCTAATGACCTCAGCTTATAAATGGATAAACTTAATGTTACATATTACCCAGAAATTTAAAGGCACAAACTACTGATACAGGGAACAACACAAGAGAATCTCCAATACATCCTGTTAAATAAAAGAAACCAGACATATAAAGCTCCATATTATGTGATTCCATAAGGGAGAATTATAAAGAGAAAGTAAAGGAATGAGCAGTTGTCTGCTTGCAAGGATAGGGATTGTCTGTGAAGAGACATAAGGAAAGTTTTGGGGTGTTGCACACTCCAGTTTGATTTTGGATGTGGCTCCAAGGGCTATATGCATTTACTAAAGCTCACCAAAATGTGCCTTTAAAATGGGTGAATTCTATTGTATGTGAAATATACCCCAATAAAGCTGAAAAGAAATGTTAAAACAATAAAAATAGATTTAAAGGCTGCAATGAGTGCAAAACTGAAATTTCAATGCAAAACACAATATGTGTTCCTGAAAATTTGGAAAAGTTGTATTTGGAATGATTAAAACTCATTATTTTAAAGTAACCCTGTTACTAATCTTTCTGTAAATCAATTTTATAAAGCAAAAATGATGTAAATAACCATCCTTAAGAGAAACTGGCATGCCAATTAGTTACATAAGCTTGAGCTCAGATTTTACCTTCTTACTAACATCTACCATGACCACTCTGTTTAAAATGACTCACTCCTTATCTCTGTTTCACTGATTTATTTCTCATATTACTTGTCAGTTTCTAAAATGCTGTATAATTTGGTTATTTTATTTAATATGAGGTTCCTCCAACTGGAATGTTAGCCTCATGAGAATCATGAGGATAAAACCAAAAACCAAACTCACTGCCATCAAGTTGTTTCCAACTCATAGTGACCCCCATTGGGTTTCTGACACTGTGAATCTTTATGGAACTAGATCGCCCAGTCTTCCTTCCACAGAGCAGCTGGTGGGTTTAAACCTCTGACCTTCTAGTTAGCAGTCAAGTCTCTTATCCACTACACCACCAGAACTCCTTATCATGAGGATGTTGCTGTTGTTATGTGCCATCGAGTTGGCCCTGACTCATAGTGACCCCTCCTTGGGTTGCCAAGGCAGTATCACTATGGAAGTAGATTGCCCAACCTTTCTTCCGAGGAGTGGCTGGTGGGTTTGAACCACCAGCCTTCTGGTTAGCAGTCAAGTGCTTTAGGCACTATGCTACCAGAGCTCCTTACCATGAGGATAGGGTTCTTTATTTTATTTTCACTGCTATATCTCAAGTATCAAGAGCTTTACACTTGGTATATATTATCAAAATTATTAAAATGACAAGACGTTAGTGAGTCTATTCAATTGGTTTTGTTATGCAGAGTTTTGTTTCCTCAATAGCAATATGAAATGTTTTGGAGTGAATATGAGGTTCATTTTATTAACACTTGGTCTTGGTTTATAGCTTGGGACTTCTGTTATATTATAATTAATCTGCAGTAGCATGTTACATAACATAATGATATACTGGATTGGTATGTCATTAAGAGTTTTCCTTGACTCCCTCCCAAATAATTAAGGAGAGTGGTAAGTTCCCACAGGTTGTCATCTCAGTCAGGTATGTTAATATGGACCTTCTTGATGGCAGTGGACCTCACATACAGGCAAACCTTGTCCCTCCCTGGAGTGTCTTTCATAACATGAAAATTGGTGGTTTTCATCTTGAAAATTATTTATAAACTTTAACTAAAGCCTTCTGCAATTCTTGGAGACCACTTACAGGTTACATTTTCTTCTTTCAGAGATCCTAGATGGTGGTTTGGCCTCTAGATCATATTTTTGTGGCCAGGCCTCTGTCTTTTCTTGATCTACTTACAAACTGGAAGGGAGATGGGAATCAGTCCAGTTTTTCTGCTAGTTCTTGAAGTGGTGATAATGCTGTGTGT